TGATAAAGCAAACAAAACATAATGTGGGGAAAGGACACTCTATTCAACAAATAATGCTGGGATAATTGGCAAGCCACATGTGAGTGAATGAAACTAGATCCTCATCTCTCCCCATATACAAAAATCAGCTCAAAATATATCAAAGACTTAAATCTATGACCTGAAACCATGAAAATTTTAGAAGATAACATTGGAAAACTCTCCTAGACATTTGCCTAGGCAAAGACTTTATGACCAACAACCAAATAGCAAACACAACAGAAACAAAGGTAAATAGATGGGACTTAATTAAACTAAAAAGCTTCTGCACAGCAAAAGTAATAATCAGCAGGGAAGACAGACAACTCATAGAGTGGGAGAAAATCTTCATGATCTCTACATCTGAGAAAGGATTAATATTCAGAATTTATAAGGAACTCTAATCAGCAAGAAAAAAACAAACAGTTTCATCAAAAACTGGGCAAAGGGCATGAAAAGACAGTTCTCCAAAGAAGATAAACAAATGGCCAAGAAACATATGAAAAAATGCTGAGCATCACTAATTGTCACGGAAATGCAAATCAAAATCACAATGTGACACCACCTTACTCTTGCAAGAATAGCCATAATAAAAAATAAAAAAAATGTTAGATATTGTCATGGATGTTGTGTAAAGGGAACAGTTTTCCACTGTTGTTGGGAATGTAAACTAATACAACCACTATGGAAAACAGTGTGGAGACTACTTTAAACACTAAAAGTAGATCTACCATTTGATCCAGCAGTCCCACTCCTGAGTATCTACCCAGAGGAAATAAATCAGTATACGAAAAAGATACTTGCGCATCCATGTTTATAGCAGCACAATTTGCAATTGCAAAAATATGAATGAGCCCAAATGTCCATCAATCAATGAGTAGATAAAATGTGATATATATATATATATATATATATAATTTATATGTATTATGTATATATATCCATCCATCCATTCCATGGAATGCTGTTCAGCCATAAAAAGGAATGAAATAATGGCATTCACAGCCAGCTGGATGACATTGGAGATCATTATTCTAAGTGAAGTAACCCAGGAATAGAAACCCAATCTCACTCATAAGTGGGAGCTAAGCTATGAGGACTCAAAAGGATAAGAATGATAAAATGGACTTTGGGGACTCGGGGAAAAGAGTGGGATGGAGGTGAGGGATAAAAGAATACACATTGGGCACAGTGTACACTGCTTGGGTGATGGGTGCTCCAAAATCTTAGAAATCACCACTAAATAACTTATTCATTTAACCAAATTACACCTGTTTTCCAAAAACATCTTGAAAGGAAAAAATGTTAGTAATAATCATTACTGACGATGGCATAGGAATAAAGTTTAAACTGTTATGTTGTTTCCCAGTTTTCCAATCCCTGCACTTAACGTGATCTAATGGAAGTTTATACGTCAGTTTTTAAAGAATGAAAACCATTTTTTATTAGATTACAGATGAAAAGATGCCATAAACAAATAATTTTAAAACTTTGTTTCCATGGCACAATACTTCAAGATCTGGGTCTTCTTCCTTAGAATGGATGTGATTAGTAAAAGATGCTATGAAAATGCATTTTGTGCCAGGCTGTGGTTCTTTATTGTGCTTGAGAGTAATCTGTGGGGCTTGTTAAAAACAGATTCCCATACTCAACAAGATTCTGATTCGCTAGGTCTAAGATAGTAACTGGGGGGGCTATGTAATTAATTATATAATTGATATTAAGGCGGGTTGTCGGTTGGTCACAATTTGGATAAACAGGATGAACATCACAGCATTTTCCATCTTTGTCTAGGTTTGGTCTCCTCAAAGTGTTTTTCCCTTATTTATAATGTCATAAGTGGAGACCTGCTTTTTAGTGGTCAGTTCTCACAGACTTATTTTGGAGCTTATTTCTAAGTGGCTAAACCTAGCTTTTTAGAAGTGAGGACCTCATTTGATTGCTCTATGTTATTTTAGTGAAGGAAAGTTCAGTAACAGTAGGATTTTTACAAAAAAGCAGAAGAAAACAAAAAAAGTATTTCTTGAAGGATTCAAGATTTCATTTGTCCTTTTATGCAAAATAGTCTTCTTAAGTTGAAGTATATTCATTTATAATTCACATGTAATCTTTTCCCCATGATCCCTAGTAGTGATGCTTATTCAACTTTTGAAAATAGTGGAAAAGTAATTCTGGTTTGTTAGTCACTGATCATTTTGACCATGTTGGCCTATATAGCATTCTCACTTTTTGTGCTCCTTCACTTTATATGGTTTTAGTTACTTACAGTCAACCACAGTCTAAAAATATATGGAAAAATCCAGAAGTAAACAATTTGGTTTAAAATTGCATGCCATTCTGCATAGTGTGACGAAATCTCTCAACTTCTTGCTTTATCCTGCCTGGTAGGTGAAGCCCATTAGTCACTAGCAGCTGTTTTGGTTATCAGATTGACGGTTGGGATATTCCAGTGCTTGTGTTGAAAGCCATTATTTTAACTAATAATGGCTCCAAAGTGCAATAATAGTGATACTGGCAAGTTGGATATGCCGAGGAGAAGTTGTAAAGTGCTTCCTTTGGAAAAGTGAAAGTTATTGACAATAAGGAGAGAAAAAATTATATGCTGAGGTTGCTAAGATCTGTGATATGAATCTTCTATCTGAAATTGTGAACAGTATTTGTTAGAAGTGTTCTATTTTATTATTAATTATTGTTATCTATCTTTCTGTGCCTAAAATGTAAGTTAAAGTTTATCATAGATATGTATATATAGAAAAAAATAACAGTGTATATAGGCTTTTGTATTATCCTCAGTTTCAGCATTCATTGGGAGACTTGGAACGTATCCCTTGTGGATAAGGAAGGACTACTGTATAGGGAGAAGAGGGATATGGCACATCTGTGTAGTTCCAGAAAATATGATAACACTATGTATTTGAAGTTATGCTCTCCATATTTCTATATTTACTGCATATTTTGTAGGTTTATATAGCCACAGAATTGTGTAGAAGTTTCTTTTCTTCTGAACTTAACTTACTACAAGTTGATAGATAAAAATAATCTTACATATCATTGCTGAAGTGCATCTTTTCTACCAGCCAGCAAATGATGTTGTAAATCTGCTCCTTTGAGCCAAGGTGACATGCACTTTTGCGTAACTTTTTAGAATCTAATCTATTTAAAATGAAAAATACTTCTGTATTAGTTTCTTGTAAATATTTAGTTTCTACTAAATTTTTTTTCAAATTATTATCAGGTTTAAAAAATACATAGGACTTACATATTTTATTATAATTAGGAATGGCTGGCCAGGCACGGTGGCTCATGCCTGTAATCCCAGAAATCCCAGAACTTTGGGAGGCCAAGGCAGGCGGATTGCTTGAGCTCAGTTCAAGTGATCTGAGGGGAACTGAAGACCAACATGGCAAAACCCATCTCTACCAAAAATACAAAAATTGGCCAGGCCTGGTGGTGCATACCTATGGTTCCAGCTACTCAGGAGGCTGGGGTGGGAGGATTATTTGAGCACGGGAGGCAGAGGTTGCAGTGAGGTGGGATCACACCACTGCACTCTAGCCTGGGTAATGGAGTGAGATCTCATCTCAAAAAGCAAAAAACAAAAACAAAAAATAATAATTAGAATTGGCCAATACACTTATTTGGAGCCACATTATTTTCAATAGGAACCCATCATCAAATTCATAATGTAGTCAGTGAAAATGTAGGATTCAATTCATTCATCCATCCATTCTTCTTGCAAATATTAACTGAACCCTACTGTATTCCTGATACTCTTCTATACTCTAGAGATATGGCAGTAAGTAAAACAGAGAAATAAAATGACCCTGTCTTTCTGGCGCTTACAGTATAGCAGAAAATCATATTTTGGATAGTAATAAATGATAAGGTTAAAAAAGGCAGAGAAGGGGACATAAATTGTTTGGAAGTGGTGATGAAATATTAGATTAGGTGGTCTGGCAATGACTCGTTGAGAAGGTGACATTGGGTAGTGACCTGATTATAATGACGGAATAAGCTGCAGAGAACATTGGAAGCAGAGAGACTGCCAAAGGCTCATGAAGCAGATATATACCTGATCTGTTTGAGGAAGAGATGTAGCAAAGTGAATGAGGGAGAGTAGTAGGAGATGAGGTTAGAGAGGTAATGTGTGTGTGTGTGTGTGTGTGTGTGTACATATACTTCAGACCATATTACGGATTTGGTTTGTGTTCTGAGATTGGTAACCATTGGGTGGGTTTGAGAAGGGGAGTGATATAATCTGACAGATTGTGGAACAACTCTTTCACTGGCTCCTGTGTCAGTAGATTGAAGATGGATAAGGATGGAAGCATGGGACAGTTAGGGGACTTTTACAATAATTCAGGTAAGAGATGGTGATGGCTTTGATCAGAGTGGTAGTTATGGAGGTGGAGAGAAGTGGTTGGATTCGGAAGTATTATAAAGCTAGCAATAACAGGATATAATGATATAACTTCATTATACGTCAAATTTATAAGCCAATTAGTCAGTAAATCAAGGAGTAATTCTTTCAAAGAAAAATAGTTTAAGTATGTATGAAGCAGAAGATTTGAATCTACCAATTTTTTAAATATACAAGGTACTTTATCAATGGAATTAAATTATTTGATGTATACTTTTAAATAGAAGAACTAGAGAAGTCATATTTCTTTTTTCATTTTAGTATTTAATCCTGTGAAGAGCTGGATAATCTGAGCTTTATCAGTAGAGGGCAGCAAAGTTTCAGGTAGTGTGTTTTCAGGTTCAAGGGCTGTTTGCTAAGGAAATTTTTTCTTTTCTTTCTTTCTTTTTCTTTTGCTGTTCTTAAGTTGGTTCCATCTTGCCTTTTAATGAAGTGCTTTGGTAATATTATGTAGGAATTGACTTAAGAACTATGTGGCTTTGGTTCAGATATTTAGCCACCTCTTCCCTTAGGTGCTATAGATCCTATCTTAATAAAAAATGTATTTCTTTTTGTGATTTAGGGAGTACCAGGACCTGGAAAATATGACATTAAAAGTCAATTTCAGAAGACAGAAAGTATGACACAAAATGCAAGTGAGGCATCCCCTGCTTTTCTTTCTCAATCCCAGGTAATGGTCTTTAGCCATTTTCATATATAAAGTCTAATAGGCATAGTGTGAAGCCAGCAACACATTCAGTGATGTTTAAAGATTATAGGAAGAAAAGTGGTATTTAAGCAAATTGGAAGTAGACATGGTCTGGGAAAAAATATTGCCAAAACGTGGGTAAAATGAAGTGAAATAAAGTTAGAAATATACAGATGAATATTTTAATAGAAACATCTATTAAACATTCTCTATTAAGCAAATTTGTATATATTAATATTCAATTCAGTTTATAATAAATATCTTCTTTAGTCTATTTTAAAATATACTTTGCCAATGAATGTGTGGAGTGTTAACATGTAAACTATATAGGCTTGACTGTGACCTTCATTAGTGATAGAACAGTTATAGAATATATTTTGCAGTAACCATTTCACATACTCCCAGGAATATACTAAGAGGACTTGAAGGTATCTAACATATTTGTAAGGTAAGACAATTATAATACTAGCAACCTTTATTATGTGGCAGTCTTGAGACCAAAGTGGTTGTGATATTTATCCACCTATGGTATGTACAGCTCTGATTATCTTATTTAACTTGGGAAGATTATTAACCTTCAGGTGACTATAGATGACTACTTTGATTTTATTGTACTTAAAAGATACCTCCTTGGAGACAAGTAGATAGATTGCAGGTATATTTGGAGATAAAATTAATATGACTTTTTAATGGGATAGATGTAATGAGAGTCTGGGAGGAATCAAGAATGAATACTAGATTTCTTGCATTGAGCAACTTAATGATACTTAAGGTACTACACGAGATGAATATGGGGAGGAGATGATATTTTCTCTGTGTATATGTGTATGTATGCACACACCTGGGCATTCATGTGCATGTATGTTTGCCCTTGATTTTTTAAAAATACTATTTTTACAAACAAAATCTCAGATTTTATAATATTTCTTTTACTCTGATTTGTAGACCTAACTTTACATCACTTGACACCAATCACATTTTAAAATATATTTTTATTACTAGAAAAGAATATGATATCAATTTGACTTAAGGGGATAATGGAGAAAAGAATAATGGCTCTGCAGTAAAAGATAAGGAGGAGTTAAAATTAAACAGGATAACCTGCTAGGGGTAGTGTTAATGTTTATTTGAATACGAATAGATATATATTAGTGATTATGATAGAAAAAGAAATAATGCAATTAACAAAGTATATTTAGAACACAGAATTTCTGGTTTGTAGGAATAAAGGCAGATACATTTCTGAGATGCTTATTTTAGTTATTGATTTAGGAGTTGCCTGGCATTTTATCTAAATGCATTGAATAGCCTGATACCTTCAATTATTAATTTTAAATACATAAATTTCCTTTATGACAATGGCTCTTAACCCTGGATGCACATTTAAAACACCAGAGGAATTTAAATACATTCTGATACCCATGTGACAACATACCCTTTGCTCTTCCTTTCAGATATTGATTCAGTTGGTTCAGAATGGGGTCTAAATAGCAATATATATATATTTTAATTCCTCAAGTAATTCTAATGCCATGGTTGAAAATTATCATTACATAAGTATTATACTTAGCATCTAAAATAATAAGATAATATTTAGAAAAATAAATTTGAAAGTCCTTTTTGGTACTTCCGGTAATAAATTTTTATTTTGGTAGTGTTAATATTTACCTGCTTTACAAAACTCAAAAGAACATGTTGTACTATTTTTTTTGCATAAGAAAGATGGAAAAATAGGAAAACATACACATAACTACTTGGCTATATAAACACTGTGAAGATAAACCAGAAAACAATTATGTTAATTACCTACAAGTGATGGTGAGGAGGTCAAGTGCAAGCACTGTATGTTGCAGTTTATTTGTACTGGCTTGCAAGAGCCAATTGTTAAGTTTCTAGTAGTTTTGCAGGCTGGTTGACATGAGGTTGGTAGTGTGAAATTAGCCACTGCTGTGGGTATATTTACACCATGTAAATCAGCAAATGTTGTAAATTGAGACCTTTCTGTCCCAAGTGGCGCAGCATCCCTTGGGGTAGAAGGCAAACAGAGAGAGTAACACTTCTTTGACTACACTTCAAAAAATACATATTTTATCTTTTGGCAAGATTTCAATGTTTATATATTCAAAATAAATCAGTAAGAACGGGAAAAGTTAAAAAAAAATAAACTGAAAGCAAATGTAAATAAAGAAGCAGTTTTATTTTAAATGAATGTCATTAATTACACTGAAGGGAAAAAAAGAAGGAATAATCCAGGTAACCATACTATTTGACTATACTAGTCTTCAGTGGGGGCTGGGATTGGAGGGTAAGTGGGCCATGAATGTAAGAATTGGAAACAGGGCAGGTGCGGTGGCTCATGCCTGTAATCCCAGAGCTTTGGGAGGCTGAGGTGGGTGGATTACTTGAGGTCAGCAGTTTGAGACAAGCCTGGCCAACATGGCAAAAGACAGTCTCTACTAAAGATACAAAAATTAGCTGTGCATCGTGGCACGCACTTGTAATTCCAGCTACTCAGGAAGCTGAAGCACCAGAATCTTCTGAGCCTAGGAGGCAGAGGTTCTAGTGAGTTGAGATGGTGTCACTGCAGTCCAGTCTGTGGGATGGAATGAGACTCTGTCTCAGAAAAAAAAAAAAAAGAATTGGAAACAAATTCTGATTGATTTTTAGTAGGTTGGTTTATTGGGATGGTATGTGTAAAGCAATTATAAAATTATCTTAGATATATTACAAATTTGAGCAAAAAAATTGATATTCTGAGGTATGGTTTTCATTGTTAAGGAAGGTACATACAAATATGGATTGGAGGAGGTGAAAGAGGACCTTGTGGGATAGATTTGAATTGAAGGTTTTTATATGAACTCGTGATTTTTATTATTATTTTATTTTAGTTTTTTGATATAGAGTTTCGCTCTTGTTGCCCAGGCTGGAGTGCAAAGGCGAGATCTCAGCTCACTACAACCTTTGCCTTCCAGGTTTAAGTGATTATCCTGCCTCAGCCTCCCAAGTAGCTGAGATTATAGGCATGCACCACCATGTCCCACTAATTTTGCACAATAAAGATGGGAAAATAGGAAAACATACACATAATTACTTGGCTATATAAACACAACAACTATAAATCAGAAGACAATGATGTTAATTATCTGCAAGTGATCACCAACCTCAGGTGATCCACCTGCCTCAGCCTCCCAAAGTGCTGGGATTACAGGCATGAGCCGCCACCACACCTGGCCGTGAACTCATTATTTTTAATGTATATTTATATGTATGAGTATATGCATATATATGTGCACATGTAAATGTAAATATGTTCCTCTGTTTATGTATATGGGTATATATGTATGTATTTGTTTCTGTCTGTCTCTCTCATTCTCTGTGTATGTGTATGTCCTAGTTCTGTCTGCTAAATGAACCAAGAAGCAAAGATATCCCAGTAGCAAAGGGCACATCTAGTGCCCAGAACTTGGTATCCAATTCTATCCTACTGAAAGAAAAAGCATTCCTCAGAGAAGTAACTGATTGTAGGATAGATGGAAGAGGAAAGTGTAACACCTTATGTCAGAAAGTAAGTTCTAAATGAAATGATGAGAGCATATCATAGTGAGGGAATGCGTTCTCTTTCTGGGTCCACAAGGGGGCGTAGTTTTAAGGGCAAGAACTTCCAGCAAGATGCCCCATTCCCATCTCTCTCCATCAGGGAGATTTAATGGTTTATGTGTAAATTTTGCGGGTGTGGGAAGAAACTAAGGGTCAGTCACTCCAGTGGAAGTTTAAAGGAACTCCTTTCATTGGCCAGAGGAACTTGGGGAGGTGGGAATTTCTCCCAGGATAAATTCCCCTGCTCCTTTACCCACACTGGATTTCCAGCTCTTTGGAATTCCCTCCCACATAGTGGGAGCTCTCTTTCTCCTCCTGGTTTTCCCCTCTGGGATCCTCTTCCACTCAGTGTGGAAGCTGTCTTTCCTCTCCTGGATTCCATCTTTCTGGATTCTCTCACACAGTGTGAGGGGAGTTTTCCTTCTCTGGTTTTCTTCCTCTGGGAACCCTTCTCACTCAGTGTGAGAGCAGCTTTTCTTTCTCTCATTCAGTGTGAGAGCTAGCTGTTTCTATCTCTCTTTCTTTTTCTCTCTCTGCCTAAATAAATCACTTTTCTGTAACACTTTTGGGGTCTGGTATTTATTTCATGAGTGTACTGCACTGTGGTCCACTCTCTCAGAGTGATAGACCAAGAACCTGGAGAAACATACTCTCAGGGAAGCGGAGGGCTCCCCTGAACCCCTGAACCCCAACAATAGGGACATAGGAAACAACATGAAGGGCCCCCAACTGGTTCAATAATGAATTATAAATCATTAATGTTGGCATTCTTGAGTCAATATGGATAATAAATAAATAATTAAGTACAGTTGACTCCTGAACAATGCAGAGATTAGGGATGCCAACTCTCTATGCATTCAAAAATTTTCGTATGATTTTTGACTCCTCCCAAACTTACATTCATTTAGGCTATTGTTGACCAGAAGCCTTTCAATAACATAGTCAAGTAACACATATTTTGTATATGTGTTATGTTCTATATACTTACAATAAAGTAAGCTCAAAAAAGAAAATGTTATTAAAAATAATGAGGAAGAGAAAATATATTTACTATTTATTAAATGGAAGTAAATTACTATAAAGCTCTTGTCATTACATTCAATACACTAGGAGGACGAAGAGGAAGGGTTGGTTTTGCTATCTCAGGTGTGGCAGAGACTGAAGAAAATTATAAGAGATCTCATATTGTTCAAACCCATTTGTTCAAGAATCAATTATAGATAGGTAAGTAGATAGCTTGACAATGGAATAAACAATTGAAGGAAGATCACTTGCTTACAGTAGAATGCTAAGTACTTACTATAAATATAGAGGCAGTATTGAATTTGATCAAAATTAAAATACCAGTGAAGACCAGCAGATAGACATCATATCTCCAGATATGATATCCTGGGAGAGCCACGCTCCACCTACCTAGTAGTCTGTCCAGAAATGCATAACCTGGATATAATTATGAGGAAATATCAGATAAACATCAAGTAAGTAAGGTTCTATTATACAAAAGGGTATTTTTCCCCAAATGTTAAAATCATGAAACACAGACCAGGCGTGGTGGCTCCTGCATGTAATCCCAGCACTTTGGGAGGCTGAAGCAGATGGATCACCCGAGGTCAGGAGTTTGAAACCAGCCTAGCTAACGTAGCAAAACCCCATCTCTACTAAAAATACAAAATTAGCTGGGCGTGGTGGTACATGCCTGTAATCCCAGCTACTTGGGAGGCTGAGGCAGGAGAATCACTTGAACCTGGGAGGTGGAAGTTGCAGTCAGCGAAGATTGTGCCACTGTACTCCAGCCTGGACAACAAGAGCAAAACTCTGTCTCAAAAAAAAAAAAAAAAAGAAAAAAACATCATGAAACACAAAGGAAGGCTGTGGAAAGGAGATGAAAGAGACATGATGACTAAAGCAATATCTGACTCTAAAGTACATTATGTACTGAAGGGAAGAAATGCAATAGAGACCTTGTTAGATTAGCTGACAAATTTGGAATATGAATCCTAGATTACATGAAAGCATTGGATCACTGATGCATTTACTGAAGTTGATAACTGTACTGTGGATATGTAAGAAAATATCTGCATTGTTCTGTAAACACATACTGAAGTATTTATGGGTAAAGAGCCATAACATATGTAACTTTTAAATTATATGTGTGTGTGTGTGTGTGTGTGTGTGTGTATGTGTGTGTATAGAGTAAGAGAGAGAGGAAGAGAAGGACAAACAGACAAAACAGAGATAGAGTTGGCAAAGAAAAAAAGGAAAATGAGGTAACATGATAATAGATGAATCTGGATAAAGGTTATACACATATTTTCTGTATCATTTTTATTCATGTATCTTCTCTGTAAATTTGAAATTATTTTCAAATAAAAAGTTAAAAAGATTATATAATACTCTATCTTATAAGAGTTCAGAGTTATAGATATATAACATTTTATATGTATACATGTTAATAAGTTTATAAGTTAAACTGAATTGATAAACCACTGAATCTAAGATTTTTTTGAGATATCTAATGATATGTTGAGTTAATCAAATATACATGTTGAGAAACTTTTCAATGAATAAAATTTGATTACATAAAATAAATTGTTAATCATATAGTTTTAAAATTTATATTAACTGGCAGAATATTTTAAGTATGATAATTATCCCTACAGTATCATCTAGAATCTCATGTTGAGATTATTTTCTTCTAAAAGTCTGTCTGCCTTAGTAAGGCACATAGTACATTGCTATGTTAGTATATAGGTGACTTTATTAAGAGCTATATATTTTATGTTTTGATGGGTGTAAGATCTTAATTCATCTACATTTTCTTCACTCCATTAAGAAATAAATTAACTCCAGATGTTATATTACTCAAAAGGCAGCTTTTAACTTATGAAGTGTCAAAATGTATTATAGTTGCTTATTGGCATATTTTCCTGTTCTTCACTAGAGATTTTTACCTATGAAATCAATAACCCCGGCTCCTGGCACATATAACGAACCTCGAACTGCTATCAAGTCCTTGAAGAAAACATCAGGACTGAAAAATATTCCATTTGGTCAAAGAGCTGTTCGATTCACACAGGATATCAGGACAGAGGAGATGCCAGGTTAGCAATTAATCTATATCTGTCTTCTCTTTGGCTTTATAAAGTAACTTAATGTTCTTAACAAGATGGATACAGAGAGTATGTTTTCTTCTTTGTCCTATGGTTGGTGGTGTTATTTTAAGTCAATATTTTTTTAAAGCATTCACTATACGTTAAACACAGATAAATCAAAATAATGTACAGTTTTAGTAAGATTTCAATTTAACATTTTACACATCCTAATTGTAATTTTCTATTGTTTTTCTTAATTTGTTAAATTTTCTGATTTTCTCTTGGCAGATAAACAACATAATATATCAACTATGTAGTAACTATGAGTAATATAACTTATGATGTTTTTTGTTAAATTTTTTTTTATTTCAGAGATGTTCAATCACAAATTCTGGTATTGTCAGTGGATATTCTAATGTTCAGAGCCAAGAATATAGAACAAAATGAAATTTAAAATTGCTGACATACAGTTCTGGCTCTCTATTGCTGTGTAACAATCTTAGTGACTTAAAACAACAGGTTTTTCTATTATATCTCATTATTTTGTGGGATAGCTAGAAGGCAGGGCTCAGATGGGTCTGTTATTCAAAGTGTGTACATACTCCAGCATGGGTGCCTCAGGGCAGCCTGAGGTTAACATGGTGGCCTAGGGTTTCATGAGACTGACCAGATGCTGCAAAATTTTTTGTGATCCAGCCACAGGACTCCCAGGACATCACTTCTTCTGCATTCCGTTAGTTAATTAAGTCACTCAGAGTAGCACATATTGATGGGAAGGACATGAAACTTTATCCCAGTGAGAAGAGTAGCAGAGAATTGATGGCCAGTTTTAATCTACTTTATGATCAATTCCTTGGCCACAAAATATTTACAATGTAACTACATGCACCTACTCCTTCCCAAGACCCAAAAGTTTCATGTAATTATGTCATAATTTCAAAGCACAGGACCTCTTAAAAAAATTTTTTTTTGAGACATTCATTTCTGTCATTCAGGCTGGAGTGCAGTGGCATGATCATAGTTCACTGCAGCCTCCAACTTTTGGCTCAAGGTATCTCCTGCTTCAGCCTTCTGAGTAGCTGGGATGACATGTGCATGCTACAATGCCTGGCTATTTAAAAAAATTTTAACCGGGGCAGTCGCTCACACCTGTAATGCCAATACTTTGGGAGGTTTAGGCAGGCAGATCACGAGGTCAGGAGATCAAGACCAACCTGGCCACCATGGTGAAATCCTGTCTTTACTAAAATACAAAAAGCTGGGCATGGTGGTGTTTGCCTGTAATCCCAGCTACTCGGCAGGCTGAGGAAGGGGAATCGCTTTAACCCAGGAGGCGGAGATTGCAATGAGCCAAGATCGTACCACTGCACTCCAGCCTGGTGACAGAGCAAGACTCCATCTCAAAAAAAAATTAAATAAATAACTAATAAAAATTAAATAAAAAAAATTGTGGTGATGATTCCTCATTTCATGGCCCAGACTGGTCTTTAACTCCTAACCTCAAATGATCTTTCCACCTCGGCTCTCAAAGTATTGGGATTACAAGTATAAATCAGAATTCCCAGCCCCCAGATCTTGTCATCTAAGTTAGATATAGGTGCAGATGAGGATTCCTCTGCTTTGTTCTTAAGATACAACTCATTCTCTGTAAGCAGAGCTGTGAACCAAAGAGAGGGTTGGTTCATCCACCATACAGTGAGAGAGAGAGATAGGATAATCAGAGTAGACACTCCTATTCAAGAAGAGGAAAAACTGGAGGCCCACAGCAGTCACAGTGCCATAGCAATTCTGAAATTCAGCTGTGCACAAGTTAGCATTTCCTTGATGGGGATCCAGTAAAGCTCACCAGGGGGAGTGATTTTCTGTGCTTCTTTGTTCTGCCTTTGGGCTCTTAGTTCTGTTTTGAGTCATCCTTTTTCTCTACGAAATAGGCTGTGTTTGCAGCTGGAACTTCTCAGCCAGCTTCTATTAGCTTCTTTTCATATTTATTCTCATTGTCCCTTTTATCCCAAGATGGTATGATTCTTATAAAAACTTTGTTTGAGTTACTTATTATATTAATTTATAGTCAAATACACTAGACAAAAGCCACACTTACATTTTCTTAGAAAAAACTTTTTTTTTTAATAACCTTTGAGGCTGTTATGTATTTTGTATCACCATTGTCTATTTTGTATTACCTTTGAGGCTATTATGTTTTTAACACCGTTAAGTTCTTAGGGGACCATTGTCTAAGTGAAAAGCGTCTGGGATATAAGACTTTAAGATTCTTTTTTTTTCTCTATTTTTAAAAATTATTATGCTTTAAGTTCTGGGGTACATGTGCAGACCATGCAGATTTGTTATGTGCTGTGGTGGTTTGGTTTGCTGCATCCATCAACCTGTCATCTACATTAGGTATTTCTCCTAAAACTCTCCTTCCCCTTGCCCCCCAGTCCCCAACAGTCCCGGGTGTGTGATGTTCCCCTCCCTGTGTCCATGTGTTCTTATTGTTCAACTCCCACTTATGGGTGAGAACATGCAGTGTTTGGTTTTCTGTTCTTTTGTTAGTTTCCTGAGAATGATGTTTTCCAGCTTCATCCATATCCCTGCAAAGGACATGAACTCATCCTTTTCTATGGCTGCATAGTATTCCATGGTATATATGTGCCACATTTTCTTTATTCAGTCTATCACTGATGGGCATTTGGGTTGATTCCAAGTCTCTGCTATTGTTAACCATGCTGCAGTAAACATACATGTGCATGTGACAAGACCTTTAGATTCTTAAGGCCCCTTTTTGAAAGGTTTTATGAAGGGTTACCATACATATTTCTAAATATTAAACAAAAGGTCTTACAGCTAAATGCTGCTTTTCATCTTTGCCTTGAGGCCACTTACTACTTTGAGAGATGTTTATTGTCTGTATAGATTGGTGATGAAAAACAGTTTTATTTTCAAATCTAGGAAATTATAGTTTCTTTTTATTTCCTAAATATTCTCCTTGAAAAGTTAACACTTTATTACTTTTCACTTATTTATTTATTTTTAACTTTTAAGTTCAAGGGTACATGTATAGGATTGCGATATAGGTAAATTTGTGTCATGGGGGTTTCTTTTAGATTATTTCATCACCAGATATTAATCCTAGTACCCATTAGTTTTTTTTCCTGAATCTGTCTCTTCTCCCACCCTCTAACATTGGTAGGCCCCATTGTCTGTAGTTTCTTTTTCTATGTATCCATATGTTCTCATTATTTTGTTCCCTCTTATAAGTGCAAACATGTGGTATTTGGCTGTATGTTTCTGTTTTAGTTTGCTGAGGATAATGGCCTGTAGCTCCATCCATGTTTCCGTATAAGACATGATCTCATTCTTTTTTATGGCTGTATAGTATTTCATGGTATATATGTACCACCTTTATCTAGTCTACCACTGATTTGCATTTAAATTGATTCCATGTCTTTACTATTGTGAATGGTGTTGTAATGAGCATATGTGTGCCCGTGTCATTATAATAGAATAGTTTATATTCCTTTGAGTATATACCCAGTAATGGAATTGCTGTGTCAAATGGTAATTCTAGAAAACTGAACAGTTTAAACTCTTTTCATTCTATCTATACCTTCTCACACATGTATAAAAGGAACTGTTGGCACTTTGACATTCTGCCTGTAAATTTCCTTAGTTAGAATCCAGCCGTTCTTTAGATATTTTCTTCATTACCCCAAGCATTAGTGTTGCTAAAATTTCTGCCATTGAATAAAACCAGTTATCACTTTTCCATCCTCTAATAACATTTTACTCACTGTCTTTCAAGTCATCACCAACAGTCTCCTCAAGGCCTTTATTCTAACTCTTCCAGTTGCTCTAGTTTCTGACCTATTGCCTGATTCCAAAACCACTGCCACAAATTTTAGAGTTTGGTTATAGTAATATACTTGGTACAATTCTTTGCTATTAATTCCATGGAGAGATTAAGTTTTGCTCTTCTTCCCTTCAGTCATGACTAGTTCTGGTGCTTTCTTGACCACTGCCTAGAGTGGAAGTGCCATTCTAGCACTTCTTAGACAAAGGCATATGCTTTACAGATAGACTTCGGCATCTTGAAACAATTGGTCTTGGAGCTCTGAGCCTCTATGTTGAAGTATGACTAAACTCAGTAGTGTTTATCATTGTAAACTTGAAATAATCAGAAGTATCAGAATCCAGTTTAAGAAAGTTTATTCAAGTACAAAGGTGAGAATAGCTATTCAAGTAACACAGACTCCAAAGGTATAGGGCCAGTGCTCCAAAGGTGAAAAGTTAAAGTCTTGCTTTTATAATCAGAAAATAAAGAAATTTAATAGGATTATAACATTTTTCATACAAGGCTGGTTTATGAGTTATAGCAATTTGATTAGTTATAGCAGTTTAGCTATAGCTGTCTTCCTTTTCCAATTTGAAAGACTGCATTTAATATTCCATCTTAGACAATGTGATAGTCATGAATCTTTGTGTCAGAGAAGTAAAAGGGAAGGTAAGCTATAATGAAGATCAGTAGTGAAGAGGCAAGAGGTCTTCTCTGGCACTTTTTAGTCTTCTACGTATTTTAGAAAACAATGTGGCTAAAAGAAGGTTAATCTATAATCAGAAGGACAAAGGTTACAGCTGTCCATCATATGATTCAGGTTGCATAAGCACATTCCTTTAAGGCTCAAAATAATTTAAAGTCCCAACAGCTTTGATTTTGAGTTACTTATTTATTTATCATGAATCTGAAATCTAAATTATTTCTAAATATTAACTTATGAAGTGGCCCAGTTGCTCTAAGAGTAGGTCTTACTGTCAATTTGATGGTCTAGTATATTACAAATAAAATATTATACATCCTTCAAAGTTAGTTTATTTATAAAGAGCAAGTTAAATTAAGAATAACCTCTAAAATATAATCTAGAATCTTACATGTTTTAAGGATTAGCAAGATGGTCTTCATGGAAATTTGATTTCATATAATTATTAGAGTACAGTAATGAAATGGACTTGTAAAATAGTCATAGAGCAGATTTGACCACCTAATGTGGAGCTCCAAAATGTTTGCAAGTTACTGTTATAAGGCACCCCTAAACCTGTTAACTCTCCCATAGCAGGTCTGATCTGGGGTTCCTGGGCATTTCTACACTTAATGATTCAGATAAATGCAAGAAAGTTCTAATATGAGTGAACCATATGATCAGAATGGCTTTCTAAGTCAGAAGTTTAACAAGGTAGTACCTGATATGTATATGTATGAGGTCTCTATCCCTGATGCTATATTCAGTATTTAAGCTCACCTGCAAAGTGCTATGTAATGCTCTTGAGTCAGAAGGGAGAAAGATTTGACATAGTTGCTTGTTTTTTATATACCTTAAACGGTGACTCAAATAGTTTTCATTATACTTTCTGTTTATCTTTTTCCTTAACATCACCACTGGAAGAATGTTGAAAGGCAGCAGGAATAGTATATATCAGCACTTAGGTTTTCTGAGAGTTGGCACAACAGAATTTTGGTATATTTTTTAGGGAATAGACTAGAACTGGAATATTTGTAAAATTAGGGAGAGTTTGTTTACATTTTGAGAGAAATCTTATATGTGTCAGAAGTACGAAGGATATTTCTTTGTAGGAAGATTTAGTCACTTTTAAATCTGGCAAAAACCAAAGTAACATGTACTCTAGTACTACCCAGTGACACTCCTTTGTCAACTGTTTCCTGCCTATGATGAGAAAAAAGATTGTACCAGAACGTAAATCAACACAATACTCTCTTCATTCAGAAGGACTAGTTACAAAATGCTTAGTGAAACAGTAAATTTACATTTAGTTGTAAACTCCTTATCTTGTAGATTTTCTTGAACAGATACTGATGTAATCAATTCCTATTATTTCAGATGAACTTGAAGCCCAGAAAAACAAATGAGATTTAAGTGAAGTTTCATATGTATTTAGAGGCAGGACTAATTTAGTAGAATGCAGATAACATGAGTACAATGAAGTTAAGTGTTCTTTAAGTATATTATATTGCATCTAATGGATATTGCTGCTCACTAGAACTGATTTTTTAAAGAACACATTCAAATAGTTGTTTTAAGTATATGACTATCTTGTTAAAAATTTTTCAACAGCATAGAAAGTTGTATTATTTTGAATGAAAAATATATGAACCTAAATTCACTCAGACTACCACTGTGGAAAAGATTCCAGGTTTTGAATATGCGCAGAAAAATAAAAAGCAAAAATTAAAATAACTTTTGTGGCAGGGAGGTCTAATGATAGGATATATTAATTTTTTGGTCAAATTTATCTTAATGCTGCTATATTGTTCTTTGAAAACTTTAGTATTGAGATTTATTTATTTATTTCTTCTCTATGTATGCCTTATACATAATAAAAATTATTCATTTAAATATATAATTTGATGAGTTTTGGTAGATATGCAGTCAGGCAATCACAATTACAGTAATGTTTTGGAGCACTTTAATCATTCCTAAGTTTTCTCCTGTTCCTTTGCAGTTTATCTCTACTCCCACTCTTGCCCTAGGCAACTGTTTCTGCTGCTATGATTTTACCATTTCTAAATTTACATATAAATGGAATTATACATTATTCAAGCTTTAGAGTCTGCCTTTTTTTACTTATCATATTTCAGAGATTCATTTGTTTATTGCTGAGTAGTATTCCATGGTTTGGGTGTAGCACATTTTGTTTACTTATTAATCAAGTGATGAACACTTGGGTTCTTTTCATGTGGGAAAATACATAGAAATAGAATTTCTGGTCATAGGGCAAGTGTATTAATCCATTGTCATGCTGCTGATAAAGAAATACCTAAGAATGGGCAATTTACAAAAGAAAGAGGTTTAGTGGACTTACAGTTCCATGTGGCTTGGAAGGCCTCACAATCATGGCGGAAGGTGAAAGGCACAACTCACATGGCAGCAGACAAGAGAAGAGAGCTTGTGCGGGGAAACTCCTGTTTTTAAAACCATCAGATCTTGTGAGAGTAATTCACTATCATGAGAACGACATGAGAAATACCCACTCCCTTGATTCAATTGCCTCCCATCAGGTTCCTCTCAAACAAATAATAATTGTGGGAGCTACAATTAAAGATGAAATTTGAGTGGGGACAGAGCCTAATCATATCATTCCACCCCAGGCCCCTCCCAAATCTCATGTCCTCACATTTCAAAACCGATCATGACTTCCCAACAGTTCCCAGAGTCTTAACTCCTTTTGGCATTAACTCAGAAGTCCACAGTTCAAAGTATCATCTGAGACAAGGCAAGTCCCTTTCACCTATGAGCCAGTAAAATCAAAAGCAAATTAGTTACTTCCTAGATACAATGGAGGTACAGGCGTTGGGTAAACACAGCCATTCCAAATGGGAGAAATAGAGTGAAACAAAGAGGCTACAGGCCCCATGCAAGTCAGAAATCCAGAGGGGCTGTCAAAATTTAAAGCTCCAAAATAATTTCCTTTGATTCCTTATCTCACATCCATGTCATGCTGATGCAAGAGGTAGGTTCCCACAGTGTTGGGAAGCTCCATCCCTGAGGCTTTGCAGTATACAACCACCTTACTGGCTGCTTTCATGGCCTGGTGTTTTGTCTGTAGCTTTTCCAGGCACATGGTGCAAGCTGTCAGTGGATCTACCATTCTGGGGTCTGGAATACAGTGGCCCTCTTTCATAGCTCCACTAGGTGGTACCCTAATAGGGACTCTGTGTGGCAGATCTGACTGCATATTTCCCTTCTGCACTGCCCTAGCAGAGGTTCTCCATAAGGGCCCCACTCCTGCAGCAAACTTCTGCCTCAACATCCGGGTGTTTCCATACATAGCTGCCAAGGCTTGGGGCTTGCACCCTCTGAAACCCTGGCCTGAGCTCTATGTTGGCTTCTTTCAGCAATGTCTGGAGTGGCTGGGATGCAGGGTACCAAGTCCCTAGGCTGCACACGGTGCCAGGACCCTGGGCCTAGCCCATGAAACCATTTTTTCCTCCTAGGCTTCTGGGCCTGTATTGGGAGGGGCTGCCATGAAGACATTTGACATATCCTAGAGGCATTTTTTTCATTGTCTTGGGGATTAACATTGGGTCCCTCATGAATTATGCAAATTTTTGAATTTCTCCTCAGAAAATGGTTTTTTCTTTTCTATCACGTTTTCAGGCTGCAAATTTTGTGAACTTTTATGATGATCTGCTTCCCTTATAAAACTGAATGCCTCTAACAGCACCCAAGTCAACTCTTGAATGCTTTGCTGCTTAGAAATTTCTTCTACCAGATACCCTAAATCATGTTTTTCAAGTTCAAAGTTTCACAAATCTCTAAGGCAGGGGAAAAATGCCACCAGTCTATTTTCAAAAACATAACAAAAGTCACCTTTGCTTCTGTTCCCAACAAGTTTCTTATCTCCATCTGAGGCCATCCCAGTCTGGACTTTATTGTGCATATCGCTATCAACATTTTGGTCAAAGCCATTCAACTAGTCTCTAGGAAGTTCCAAACTTTCTTACATTTTTCTGTCTTCTTTTGAGCCTTGTAAACTGTTCCACCCCCTGCATGTTACCCAGTTCCAAAGTTGCTTCCACATTTTTGGGTATGTAGAAAAGTGCCCTACTCTACTGATACCAGTTTACTATATTAGTCTGTTTTCATGCTACTAATACAGGCATATCTAAGACTGGGCAATTTACAACAGAAAGAGGTTGAATGGTCTTATAGTTCCACATGATTGGGAAGGCCTCACAGTCATGGCAGAAGGTGAAAGTCATGTCTGACATGGCAGGCAGCAGACAACCCCTTGATTTAAGACCATCAGCTTTCATGATATTTATTCACTATCACAATAATAGCACAGCAAGATTCCTTCCTCTTGATTCAATTACCTCCTGCTAGGTTCTTCCCATGACACATGGGAATTGTGGGAATTACAATTCAAGATGAGATTTGTGTGGGGACACAGCCAAATTATATCAGGAAGTATATGTTCACTTTATAAGAATTCAACAAAATTTTAAAATGTGACTATGCCATTTTGCATTTATGCCAGCAATATGTAATTTTTTTCTAAAAAAAAACCCTTAATTAAAAATTACTCAGTTCAAAAGGTGCAAATAAAAGCATGCTTTTTCTTATATATGGTATTTTCAAATAATTTTAGGTCCTGGGTTTTATAATATCCTGAACAATACTATAATTGCCAATATTAGAAATATCTGCTCAAAAAAACAGAAGAAATGTGCATTTGGTTCTTCTGTTCCTCGGACTTTCTTCTTGGTTCAGAAAGATGCTTGTGTTACCCCTGGGCCTGCTGATTATCAGGTAATACATTCATACCAAAATAATATTCTTTATGTTGAATATCAAGCTCTTTGGTTTCTCTTGAATTTACATGTTATAATTAATAGAAAAAGATATCAAACAACCATTATAACAATATTCCATATGTTAAGGAAAGTAGGAGTATTGAACATATTAAATATAGAGAAATGGCAGAAATATAAAGACACAAATTGAATTTTTAGAGATGAAAAAATATAGTGTTTGAAAAAATATGCTCTGAGGATGTGTTCACGGGAAGGTGATCAGAATGGTGAAGGTGCACAAATTTCAATCATGTCACCCAAAGAACATTTGAAAAAAGTGGAGACGTTTAATACAGAGCAGAAGAGACTTACAGAGAATAAACTAGACATTGGTTTTAAAATGGAAAGCTTTCTAACATGGAGAAAGTTCTGTGTGACGTACGGAATTCTATCAAGACCAATAGGTGACAACTGTAGGGTTTCATGTTTCAGTTCAGTGAAAGTAATAACTGAATTTTGTGTATTACAGTTTTAAGATGTATAGTATGATTTTAAGAACAATAGCAGGAACAAAGAAAAGCCAGAAAATATATGCACAACAATTTAAAGGTGAAAGTTGTTACATAACTACATTGAAATCTGTTGCCCTTAATTGCAGATACATGAATTCTTATGTGTTTTATTATACATAAAATTTATATTTGTGGGATTAATTCTTATAATTTAGATATTAATTTTTCTCAGGTTTTTAATGTTTAAACTTATTTTTCTGAGGGTTGTTTTCTATGTATATGTGCTCAAAGAAGTTTATTTTCTATGTAAACATCTATTTTAAATCTCTTTTTTAATCATTAAGAGACAATTCTCTGTGTGTTTGTGTTTCTACATACCTTTGCTTGGACCTCATTTTACAGATGATTGTATAGCAAATAGCCTTCAAAGATACAATGTCTCCCTCCTAAGCAGAGGGAGTGCTTAGTGCTCTTTATAAAAAGATTCAGGTTCCCAGAGCTCACAGTTTTTCTCCCATAACAAAGCCCACTTTGTGTGCACGTATTTATTTTGCCCCATCAGCCTTGTCCCCAGTAGGACTTTAGGGCAAGGAGGACTGATGCAAATGTGCTGTTGTCATCATGTTTGTTATGCCATGAGTAATAAAGTTCTTTGTCGCTGACTCAGAAGTTTTGCATTTTTCTGTGAAACTGTGGCAGGTTAACTTACTAGGTTGAAGTAGGGCAAAATTTCAGACCCATCATAGCCCTTCCTATTTGCATATTATTAACTTATAGACATTTTTATTTTGTTATATTTTGTTCCCATAGGTCCCAGTAGTGCATCTGACAGCCTCCTCAAAATGGCTCTCTAGTTTTTGTCAATTTAATTTATATTTCATTAAATTTACAAGTTCATTATTAAATTGCAATTGTAAGAACAAGTTTAACATACCTACATGTACTCTAAAGTCATTTTTTAGCTTACTAGATTTCTAGACTTTCAGTTTTTGAGTTTCTGTCATCAACCTTTGATATTTGTTTTAATTTATATTGTTTATTTAGTCTGATACATCCATCTACCTATCATCTGTCTGTCTCTCTCTCTCTCTCTCTCTCTCTCTCTCTCTCTCTCTCTCTCTCTCTCTCTCTCTCTCCATGTGTGTGTATGTGTTTCAAATATATCTATATTTGAAAGAGGGTCTCACTCTGTTGCCTAGGCTGGAGTGCAGTGGTGTGGTTATGGTTCACTGCACCCTTGCCCTTCTGGATTCAAGTGATCCACCTGCCTCAACCTTCTGTGTGGCTAGGACCACAGGCACAGGCCATCACACCTGGCCATTAAATTTTTTTTTTTTTTGTAGAGATAAGGTCTCACTTTATTGCCCAGGCTGATCTTGAACTCCTGGACTCAACTGATCACCTGCCTCAACCTTCTGAAGCATTGGTGTTACATAGTGAGTCACCGCACCCAGTGTATATTTTTAACTGTGGTAAAAAAACACAATATTAAATTTATTATCTTAACTATTTTAAGTGCTGATATAAGTATATTTTAAATGCATCATTAATGTTAGTAGTTTTTAGAATATTTCTGCTCTATTTTGTTTAAAATGTACTAACAGTTCATTATTCTTAGTAATCTATCATTTAGATAAAAAGAATTATGGTATTTATTCTTCACTGTAGATATTGAGAAGTCTAGCACAGTGATTACTAGCATGATCTCTGGACTCAGAGTGCTTGAATATACTTTTTTTGCTCTGCAACTGATCTTGTGCAAGTTATTTTAACTCTTTATGCTTAATAAAATGATGATCACAATAGTACACACCTAAAAGTGTTATTGCAAATACTAAGTGAATCAAAAAATTCTTTGAATGTCTTATGACTCATAGTATAAACTCAGTAACTAATTTCTTATTCTTGTTGACAATCTAAAACTACCTATAGGTATAACTCAGACTCAATTTATAGAATATTTGACAAACTAAAATCAAGAGTGAAATATAGATCTTACACATGTCTGATTTAAAAAAAATCAGTCTGGTAAACCTTTCGTTTAATTGTAGTATCAATTGATTTATGTTTAATTTGGTCATCAACATGTTTGTGTTTGCCTACATTACACTATTTTATATATTGTATTGGTCTGTTTGTTTTGCCACTTAATTTTTTCTTTCTTTCCATAAGTTATTGGGGAACAGGTCATGTTGGGTTACATGAATAAATTCTTTATTGGGGATTTGTGAGATTTTGTTGCACCCATTATCTGAGCACCATATTTGTAGTCTTTTATCTGTCACCCCCTTCCACACATTCCCCCTGAGTTCTCAAAATCCACTGTGTCATTCTTATGCCTTTGCTTCCTCATAGCTTAGTCCCACATATGAGTGTGAGCATGAGATGTTTGGTTTCCATTCCTGAGTTACTTCACTAAGAATAATTGTCTCCAATCTCATCCAGAGTTTGGTGAATGCAATTAATTCATTTCTTTTTATAGCTGAGTAGTATTCCATTTTGTGTGTGCACATATATATGTATATATTCCATTGTGTGTATATATATATATACACAATATTCCATTGTGTGTGTATATATATATATGTGTATGTATTGTGTGTGTATATATACACACAGATATATACATATATGTGTGTATATGTATACATATATATGTATACACACAGACACACACACACATATATATATATACACATACACACACACACACATACAACATTCCACTGTTGAATACACACAGACACACCATACAGTTTCTTTCCTTTTTTTTTTTTTTGAGATGGAGTTTCACTCTTGTTACCCAGGCTGGAGTGCAATGGTGCGATCTCGGCTCACCGCAACCTCTGCCTCCTGAGTCCAGGCAATTCTCCTGCCTCAGCCTCCTGAGTAGCTAGGATTACAGGCACGTGCCACCATACCGAGCTCATTTTTTGTATATTTAGTAGAGATGGGTTTTCACCATGTTGACCAGGATGGTCTCGATCTGTTGACCTCGTGATCCACCCGCCTCGGCCTCCCAAAGTGCTGTGATTACAGGCTTGAGCCACCGCGCCCAGCCCACCCCACAGTTTCTTTATGCACTCATTGGATGATGGGCATTTGGGTTGGTTCCACATTTTTGCAGTTGTGAATTGTGCTGTTATAAACATGTGTGTCTAAGTATCTTTTTTGTATAATGACTTCTTTTCCTCTGGGTAGATAACCAGTAGTGGGATTGCTAGATTAAATGGTAGTTCTACTTTAAGTTTTTAAAGGAATCTCCACACATGTTTTTTCATAGGGTTATACTAGTTTACATTCCAACCAGCAGTGTAGAAGTGTTCTCTGTTCACTGCTTACATGCCAAGATCTATTATTTTTTGATTTTTTTTTATTATGGCCATTCTTGTAAGAGTAAGGTGGTATTGCATTGTGAAGTTCAGCATTTTTCATATGTTCATTGGTAATTTGTGTATCTTCATTTGAGAATCGTATATTCATGTCCTGAGCCCACTTTTTGATGGGATCATTTGCTTTTTGGCTAATTTGTTTGAGTTTGTTGTAGATTCTAGATATTAATCCTTCATTAGATGTGTAGATTGTGAAGATTTTCTCCCACTCTGTGGGTTTGTTTGTTTACTCTGCTGACTGTCTCTTTGCCTTGCAAAAGTTCTTAAGTTTAATTAAGTACCAGTTATTTATCTTTGGTTTTTTTTGCATTTGCATTTCTGTTGGGTTTTTGGTCATGAAATAGATGCCTAAGCCAATGTCTAGAAGTGTTTTACAGATGATATCTTCTAGAATTTTTATAGTTTCATATCTTAGATTTAAGTCGTTGACCCAAATTGAGTTGATTTTTGTATAAGGTGAGAGATGAGGATCCACTTTTATTCTCCTACATGTGGCTTCCCAATTATCCCAGCACTGTTTGTTGAATGGGTTTTTTTTTTCTACTTTATGTTTTTGTTTGCTTTGTTGAAGTTCAATTGACTGTAAGTATTTGGGTTTATTTCTGGATTCTCCATTTTATTCCATTGGTCTATGTGTCTATGTTTATACCAGTATCATGCTGTTTTGGTGACTACGGCCTTATAATGTAGTTTGAATTCAGGTAATGTGCTGCCTCCAGATTTGTTCTTTTTGCTTGGTCTTGCTTTGGGCATGTGGGCTCTTCTTTGATTCTATATAAATTTTAGGACTTTCTTTTTAGTTCTTTGAGAGCGATGATGTTATTATATTGTAATTGCATTGAATGTGTAGATTGCTTTTGGCAGTATGGTAGTTTTCACAATATTGATTGTACTCATCCACGAGTATGGGATGCATTTCCATTGGTTTTTTTGTTGTCTGTGATTTCTTTCAGCAGTGTTTTGCAGTTTTCCATGTAGAGGTCTTTCACCGCCTTAGTTAGGTATATTCCTAAGTATTTCATTTTTCTTGCAGCTGTTGTAAAGGGGTTGAGTTCTTGATTTGATTCTCAGCTTGTCATTGTTGGTGTATAGGAGAGCTACTGATTGGTGTA